CATTGAATCAAATCACAGCAAATGTATTTGCATCTACATTTCTGTCTTCTGGGAATACAAGTGTCCAACGAGAGAGACTCGTGTCCTCCACCAGCCACTTGCTCATCCATACCACAGAAAACTACAGCTGGGCAGTAGAACAGCAGGAAGTCGGTGCAGAGTGAGATTGAAAAGCAAATAATTTATTCCTTTAGCTGTTCACTCTTTGTCCTTGTGCCCAGGACCTGCTGACATAAAACATATTTCAGGACAGAGCTGGCATGGAGTGAAGGTATCAACCCTTCTCTGGAAGGCACCCCTTGGAAACTCCTTCTCATGTCAGCCTGTGAAAGAGATGCATTTGCATTTTTTTGTGCAGGACAATACAGCTTGTTTTAGGAACACAGGAGAAAAAATTTCATTAAAATTTCATAGTTTTATCACCTGGCATTTTGTACCAAGAGCTTTAGGATGATGGCAAACCAGTACTGTGCAGGCTCTTGGTAGGCACAGGATGCATCAGTTCTTGCTGCTGGTTTAGCTGGGAGTTTGGAACTCTGGGATGGACTGAAGCAGCACTTTTTTAACAATGGTTTGGTGGTACTGTCAGGACCTTGAAGCCATGATGGCACAGTCTGTACATGAACAGCATTAAACAGCTTTTCACAGCCTGAAGTTCAGTGGTGAGGGAGACTGATGGGCCATGAGACACGTTTCTATCTGAAATGGAAATATAGATTTTTTTTTTTTTTCTAGTTCTATTTAGGAAGTTGCCTCTGACAGGAGCTTCCAGGGCAGAGCATGGTGCAGAGATTAACTTCTGCTCTTGCTGAGCCTCCCCAGGTGGCTGTGGGTGCAGGACCCTCCTCTGCAGCTGCGGAATTTCCTGCTCAGAAGCAGAGTTTGCTCTGCAGCCTCAGTGCTGCTTGAATGTGGCTCTGTTACTCAGCTGTAATTAGAGCAGCTTGCCAGTTCTTTATTTCATCCCTTCATTTCAACGGGATTTCCAGACCTGGTGCAATTTGCCCCAGAGAGCTGGGACTTGTTTTCGAACCCAAATCTAGCCAGACCTTAAACCTACACTTGTATTTCTCCAGCTACAAATAACAATGGAAGTGATTTTATCTAATCTCCCACCACCTGGTTTGTTCTTGTCCTCACTCTTAGGCATGAGGGTATTGAAAATGCTTTTGGGAGGAGGAGATTTGAGCTGTGTAACCACCAGCATTAACACAACCACACAGGCTGTGTGTAAAGAACCAGCTGTGGCTGGCAGTGACCCCATGAGGGGAGAGAGGCCTGGGCAGGCAGAGCTCGTGGCTCGTGTGGTGTCTGTCCTCTGTGAAGGCTTGGAGAGGCAGAGCTCGTGGCTCGTGTGGTGTTTGTCCTCTGTGAAGGCCTGGAAGGCAGCTCAGCAATGGCCGCTGCGCAGGGAAGGGCCCACGCGCGGCCCTGGGGCTTCAGGGAGCCCTTGTGCCTCCTGTGTCTCTACGTGACTTGGCACCCGGATCCCAGGACACCTCTCCAGGCCAGAGCTGTGACTTTCTAGCTTGGGTTTCACGACGGAGCACCCAAGGCCCCTCCTCTACGCCGGCATTTCGGCGCTGTGCTTTGGAAGGACTCCAGGCCAGCAGTGAAGGGCTCTTTGATAATATCTGACGGGCGGGTAAGAATTTTGGGCAGCAGCCAAGGTACACATTGCCTGTAATCGTTAACTCGGTCTGTAAACAGTTCAAACGGCACTGAAGAGGCCGTCAGTTATTACATTGGAGAGAAGCCTTTCATGTGCCCGCGCAGGAGCCGGAGCCGCGCAGCGCCAGGCCCTGAGGAGCAGCTCTGGCTGCGGCGCGGCCTGGCCCTACAGCGGCCGCTGTGCTGAGCCTGACCTTCAAACCCTCGGCGCTGCAGCAACAACTAAATCCTTACTTTCTTTTGTTCTGCACCTGGCTCAGCGGTGGAGCCCGGCGAGATGGAGGGGGAAGGGATCAGGCAATGCTCCCCCGGCACAGCTGGGAGGGTTCAGCAGGGCTGGCTCCTCCGCCCCAAACCCATCTCCTGCCTGCGGCTTTTACCTGGTGAGAACAGCTCTGTGTACAATCCTAGCAAACGTTCCACTCAGGAACAGGGAAAGCTTCCCTGGACCATTCCTGGTTTCTCCAGAAATGGCCAGAGTGCTGGTTCAGGGCCACATCAGGGTCCAGACATTGCCAGGCAAAAATGCTGCTGAGCTTCATCTTCAGGAGAGTTTTAGAGAATTTCCCAGTCCATATCAACCTCTGGAGAGCCCTTTGGTCTCTTTCCAGGAGCAGTTCAGCCCTCCTGGAGATGTGTGATGCTCCAGATGAAGTTGTTGCTTAATTTGCTCCAAAAGGAATTTCCTTGTCAGTCTTTGATCTTCTAGATCTGCTTTCTCCTTTCTAGAAAATCAAGAATGCTCTTTCTGACATCAGTTGTCAAGGTTTTGACTTTCAAACCCATTGTAAAGAGCTGGTGGTTGAGGAGGAGTACCCAGTGGCTGCAGTAAAGCAATCTGGGCTCAGATGAGTCTCTGTGTCTATCACTGCAGAGCTGCTTTCAGGGTCAGAGCTGTCTCAGGTGTTTCATGGACTGGTTGTAGGAGTCTTCGTGTGTTTGTGCCACCCCTGAGCTGGTCCCAAGGGACCTCCCTGCTTGAAGGGGTGAGAGAGCTGCCAGCACAGCTTGGGCTTTGCCAGTGCTTTGAGGGCTGCAGAGGAACAAGATTTGGTGTGAGTTTTGTGGGACAGCTTTAACCTTTCAGCCACTGCCAGGACAGTACAGAGGGTTGTGTCAAAGGAGTCTCCAAGGATGGAGATGGCTTCAGAGTGGGGACAGGCTGGGCCCTCTGAGGTGTCCGAGATGAACAGGTCAGCGTGTATTGGATGCTCTCCATGGGATTTGGGATCCTGCAGAGTGCTTGAGGCAGAGGAGCATGAGCTGTTCTCCCGTGACTTGGGCCAGCTTGCCTTTACTTTCATTTAGTGCTGTGAGTCAGGGCTGACCAGACTCCCTTTGATACTGCAACGTGGATGTGTGGAGCAGACAGAGACAGTTTAACCAGACATTGTTATGGAACTTTGCCAGAGGTTTCCTTGCCAGTCCATACAATCCTCGTGGTGGCTGGGCCAACAGAAGTGACACTTTCTTCCCTCATGTGGGACTTCTCTGTCTGCAGGAGAGCAAACTTCAGCAGAGCTGTCAGTGAGGGGTGTTTGAGAGTTTTCTCCAGCCCCATGGGAATCATTTAGGTTGGAAAAGCCCTCCAGGACCATCAAGTCTAGCCTGTGCCTGATCCTCACCTCATCACCAGCTCAGAGGACTGAGTGCCATGTCCAGGCCTTCCTTGAGCACCTCCAGGGGTGGGGACTCCACCACCTTCCTGGGCAGCCCCTTCCAAGGCTTGACCAACCTTTCCAGGAAGAAATTCCTCCTGATGTCCAACCTGACCTTCCCCTGACACAGTTTGAGGCCATTTCCACTTGTCCTGACCTGTGTTCCCCGGGAGCAGAGCCTGACCCACACCTGGCTCTGAAGTCCTTCCAGGGAGTTGCAAAGAGCGACAGAAGAGATCCAGACTTCACCTAAACGGTCTAATCCTGCACGTGTGATAATCAAATAAACATTGCTCTTGGGTTCAGCACTGCTCTTTGTTGCTCACCAGCTTGGTAATGAAAAGGAGAGGGAAACACAGTCATTTCTTGATTAGGGACAACAACTCTTGATTGTTGTGTCAAACCCTCAGGCCCTGCTGACCCTTGACTCAGGCCAAAGGTAGTGAAGCTCATGAGCACGAGTAGGGGCACAAGCACAGGAGCATTGCACTGGCACCTTGCAGGTCCTTTGTCTCCTCTCCCACCTCTGGCCACTCCTTCAGGGGACTAGGATGTCTGAGCCGTTCACACGTTGAGGTAGGACCTGAGTCTCTCTAAGAATAATGAATCTGTTATCAGTGAATGTGTTTGTCTGTGACTCACATGTGGGTAAGGTGTGTTTGCTGTTATAACAGCTCTTGAAACTTTATGCAGGTAAATTTAAAAAGCCCCATATCCTGATGGCTGAGCTTCATGCCCAGGAGTCATGGAAGTGGCAATTTTTCCTTGGGCCTCTTGAAACACTCTGCTGTTCTTTTCCAACCAGCCATTTCCATCTTCTCCATGGCTAAAATCTACTTCATCTCCCTGTCCCATCCCTCCTCATCCTCATCAGGCAGCAAACTGTGCTAAATGACCTCTCAGGGTCACCTCTTTACCTCCTGTTTCTGCATGAGACTCCCAAGTGGGAATTGGGCACCTTTCCATGCCTGATTCCCCAGGAGCTTTCCCCGTGTTTCTGCTGCTCAGTGCAACCTGTGAGTGATGCTGGGAGGGACAGGTTGGTGTGAAGGTAGTGGGACTGGTGGCAATAAAGTGGAAAGGGTGGCAAGGAGGAGTTTTAAAATTGAAATTCAGTATTTTAGGAGTGGCATTGTGGACAGAAAAAGTAGAAAACAAAGAAAAACCATAAAGTAAGGATACAAGAGTAAGTAAGGATAAGAAGTAAGGATACAAAAAACCTAAAAAGGTAACAGTGAGAAGATGGGATGTGGGATAGCTTTGTGTCCTCTCTGAAGCTGTAACAGGAGGGATGTGGTGACAGAGACAGATGGAGTGATAATGCCAAGGGTCACAGGTTGACAGTGTCTTACCAGGGCCAGGGTGTGGACAGAACTGCAGGGCTGAATCACCCAAGAGTGGGTCCAAACCCTGCCAGCTGATCCCAGCCCACCGTTGGGATCCCGAGAGCACAGAGCCAGGCAGGGATTGTTCTGGGAAAGGATCTGGCAGAGCAGCAGTGTGACTTCCATCAGGGAACCCCAGCTGGAACAGCATTGTGGGGTCCAGCATAATAGCCCCTGAGGTCCTTCTGCTAACTGGGACCCTGGGAGTGGGTTTGCAGGGTGGGCTTGAGCCCCTTTGCAGTGCTGAGCACCAGGATCTGAGTTTCCCCTTGCTTTTGTCCCACAGTCCCACCCACTATCCCTGTGCAACACCAGCGAGGATGAACACACGGAATCAGGATTCATCACCATCGTCAAGCTGGAACAGCCAGATCGGGATCCCAACCCCTGCCTGTCCCTGGCCAACAAGGTGAGCACAAAAAATGCCTGAAATGGCATCAGCCTGGGAAGTGAAACCTGTGGTGCAGCAAAAAGGGCAGGAGGAGACAGCAGAGTAGGAAAGAGCTGTTGGGAAGTGGAGAAAAGGACAAGGACAGAGCAGGGTCTTGGGCAGAAGGGGTCCTTTGGGAGAGATGCTGTGCCAGCCAGCCCAAACACCTATGCCTTGACCTTTTGGACTGCCTGACTTTGTAGAAGGTGTGATGTTTCTCCAGCCTGGCAGCTCTAGGATGCTCAGACCTTACCCAACATCCCACACTCTGCTGCCCAGCAGCCTTGTCCCCCTCCTGTTTTACAGCCTCATGTTGCTCCCTGGCCTGTGAGGGGATTTGTGTTTCTCTGTGTTCTCTGGCCTGTGGGAAAACGTGGACACAGAACACATCATCTGTGGCTCTGTTTCCAAAAATAACACTTAATACTTCACTGGATGAGGCACGAGAAGAGTCAGTGCTGAGCAGTGGAGATAAATGCAGACCAGGTGAACTAGTGGTGGGTCATGACTTGTTAACATTTTGGGCCCTGGGAGATCTCAGAGGGCTTTGGATCAGGCACATCAGTGAAACAGCAGTTCCTGTGCCAAAAGCTGAGGTCACTGGTCGGATTCTCTGGTAATAAGGAAGTAAGGTAGGAACAAGGGTCATTTTAAGCCTTAAAATCTTTGTGACTGATTAAGTTGCATGGATAAGGATGACATTGGCTTTTTCTTTTGATTGTATCTCTGCCAAATGTTGGGCTATTTTCATGCTTGTACAAGTGTTGTACACTTCTTCCTGCTGGTGGTGATGTGGTGAGGATGGGGACAGGGTCCTTTTCTGTGTTCCCTGCAGCTCAGCTTAAGAAGGCAGGCAAAATTTGGACCCAGTTTTTGCTCCTGTACAGCAGGATTTTTTCACAGAGGCTGTGGCATCAAAAGCAAGGAAAGGGATGTGATGCCATGGTGGATTTGTCATCCCAGGGCTGGTTCCCCCTGGCTGCATGTGCAGCCAAGCAGCAGTGCCTGACCCTTCCTGGGTTGCCCAGCCCAAGTCTGGGACTCTAGAGCCCGTGCCAGCTGGCATGAGCCAGCTATCAGTTTCCTCACACAGGGAAAATGGTCTGGGCCCAGCTGGGCAGCTTGTGTCAGAGGAGAGGAAAAAGGCTGGGCAGGTGCTTCCAGCTCTCCCATGTCCATCCAGACGTGACTGTCCCATGACAGCAGTGCCAGGATGCCCTGCTGGGAAAGCCACTGAACTGCTAATCCTGGAGCAGACCTGCAGCCCTGGCTCCAGCTGAGCTTCCCCCTGCTGAACAGGGGGAGCCAGGGAGAGCAGCGTGAGTGGGAGTCAGGCCCTCTGATCTCCCTGCCAGGTGACAGGAGACCTGTGGGAGTTTCTGTTGTCTGTGGAGGTCAGCATGGCTAACAGGGCTGCACGTCCCTCCCCAGCAAATCCAGCTCTGAAACAAGGGAGCACCTGGCACGTGGACAACTGGGGAATGGTTAGGTTTGTGTGTTGCTGTGACTGCAAGGCCACCAACTACTTCATCTCCACAACTTTGGGAAGAAACCACCCATGAGCCGCAGGGCTCTGGCAAGAGCAGGCGCTGCAGCCCAACGCAAGCTCAGGAACCAAGGTGGGAACGGTTTCCTCAGTCCAGGCAGGTGCTTCTCTCTCCTGGGAAGAACCCAGGAGGCAGACTCGGATCCAGGGGCAGGTGTGGACACAGGTTACAGTACACAATGTCCACTGAAGCTTCTGTTGTTTTGGACAGGCAAAGTTGGCAGGGGAGCGTGGAGCCCGTGCGATCCTTTTCGACATCACCGATGATGAAAGTGCTGCTGATCAGGTACAGACCCCAGTGATACCCTCAGCTAAAACACAGTGCTCCTGTCCCATCCCAAAACGTGCTCAGGGCAGAACCCCCCAGCCACCAGTGGGAGGTGCCAGGAGGATGCTGCTGGTGTTGGGTGTTGGTTCTTAGCCCACACAGAGGCTCTCCATGGCACATCCATGCTCTTAAAAGACATTGTCTGGTCAATCAGACTTCTCTGCGAGGAGCTGGATGCTTCCTCTTGGGAAGTCATAAATTTCCCATCTGGTCCAGACAGCCCAGTGTACCCCAGGAAGAGTGATTTCTCAAGTTTTCAAGCCAAAGTCACAACCCCCTGCTTTGCTGTTGGTGCAGATTTAACCTTGGTTAGACACCTCCAAAGGTTCCTTTCCCCAGCACTGTTGTCATCTCTGGAAGGGAATCAATTCCCCATCCAGATAATCCAGGGATATGAAAAGCATCCAGCTTTAGGTAGGGAGCAGACAGGGGAGCTGGTGCCTGACCTCATCCAAACTCTGGGCTGACTCCTTGCTGGATCCATCCCTTGTGGCTCTTTCATGCACTTAATTTCTGGTGCCAGAGAAGCACAGCAGCAGATTCATGCCCATGAGGTGATGCCGAGGTTGCTCAGATCCCAGTCTCTGCTCCCTACCCCGAGCCTTGGCTCCCACTTTTCCAGCTTTCCCATTCAGTACACCAAAGCCAAGAGTATCAAATCCTATCAACAATTCAGAGCCTTCAGCCTTGCCTCCCTGGTCTTCCTGACCATCTGCACCTCCATTCACATCTCCATCCCTGTGCACTCCCAGGTACCCCGCAGTGTATGGGAAGGGGTTACTGGCTCTGATGGCCACCCTGATCCACCTCAGTCTGGAGGAGAGCAGGCTCGGGCCTGCCTGTGCCAGGCTGCCTGGACCACAGTGGAAAACTGCTGGTGTCACAAGGAACAAGCAGAATGTCCTTAGGGAGGAGGGGAACTGGATGGGTCCAGAGCAGAGGAAGCATTTCTGTGTGCAGGGAACGCTTGGCAGTGCTGTTGGCACTTCCACAGGGAAGAGGAGGGACCAAGAGCTTTTGCACAGGGCCTTGAAAGATGCTCAGGAGACACCAAGCAATGTCTGATTGTGCATGAGGAGTCACCAGCAGGGAAAATGAAGAAACCCATGCTGTAAAACTGGTAAAAGAGAAGCTTCCATTGATTAATCATAGAGGGACAGTGTAACCTTGGGGGAGCAGTCAGTCTCTGAAGTGTTGCAAGAAGCATCATGAGGAATGGACATGCCTGGGGAGTCAGGATCACCCTTGTTTCAGGCTGTTCTGGATCAGCCCTCACTGTGTTTGTTTCTTTGCAGCTGAGGAAGCCCAGAGGCCTGAGCCAGCCCGTGGTCCTGATCAGGGGCCACGATGCTGAGCTCCTCATGGGCGTCGTGAACAAGAACAGAGAGGCCCACGTGAAGATAGAGGTCAAGGAGCCACCAGCTTGGGTGAGAGACACATGATTCTCACTGCCTCCTCCCTCCCAGCCTGCTGGGCTTTCCCAGAGAGGCTGAGCTTTCCTCCTCAGGGATGGAGATCAGGGCCTGTTGCAGGAGTTGTCTGTAGCATTCAGACATGCTCAAGGAAAGGCTCAAAAGCATTTTCAGCTTACTTAATTTCTTTTGCTTTAACATCATGAGTGAGCCAAGGGGATTCTCTGTCTCTTCAAGTAAGACCAAGCCTTGATTTTTTCATCTTGTGCTACCTTAGACCATGATCTCAAGGGAGCTGAGATGCTGCAAGAAGAGATACTCCATTCTTGTATGGATATGCAAGAAAGGCTGAACTGTGTTTTCATTTACCTGTAAAGAGTAAGGGGAGGAGCTTGGCTAAGGATGACACTTCCCAAGGCTGATGGTCCAGAAGAGATGGAGATTCCCATAGCCCCTAACTCCCACCAAGAGTAATTTCCACACAAGAGTAATTCCTGTCCTGTTTTATCCAACAGCCAGACTACGACGTGTGGATTCTTCTCACAGTGGTCAGCACTGTGGTCGTCATCATTTTGATTTTTGTTGTCCGCACAAAGTGCCAACTGAACAGGACTCAGGTGGGGATCTCATGGAGCAGACATGACTGGGCAAACAGGAATTCAGCAAAAGCAGGAACAGACACCTTTTGAGAGGGGAAATGGGTGGATAGTGATCGAACAGGGAGAACAGTCTTAAACTAAGACGAGAGATTTAGATTACATATGGGAAGAAATTCTTCCCCGTGGGGCTGGTGAGGCCCTTGGCACAAGTTGTCTAGAGAAACTGTGGCTGTTCTGGATCCTTGGCAGTGTCCTAGGCCAGACTGGACAGGGCTTGGAACAACCTGGGATAGTGGAAGATGTCCCTGCCCATGGCAGGGGAGTAAAATAAGATGAGCTTTAAGGTCTCTTCTAATCCAAACCATTCCAAGATTCTATGATTGTATGATTTAGTATTCTTAATAGAAATTAACAATTGAAATAATCATCTTCCAGAATCAGATGTATTTCCATATTTGAGACTATCCCATTTGTCCTCTAGAGAGACAATCCTTTGGGGATCAAAAATTCAGCACTGCTGAGTGATTTGAATGTTTAGGGCCAGATGTCTCCTGCTCATGACAAAGCCTACTCTGGCTGAGTCAGTGACAGAAAGTCACCCCTGCAGATGAGCATTGTCCCCAGATTTCTGATAATCCCATTTTGAGTACGGGAGGGCAGACTAAGGCTGAACTCTCCTCAAGTCCCGTCTGTCTCCACAGGACTCGGTGCAGCAGCAGACCCTGCAGGCCATCGGGCAATTGGCCACGCGCCGCTACCAGCCCCGGGCGCGGCCGGCCCCGCGCTGGGACTCGGCCAGCAGCTGCAGCTCTGCCCCGGTCTGTGCCATCTGCCTCGAGGAGTTCAGCGAGGGGCAGGTAGGGTTTGGCCAGGGCTGCACCACGCGTGGCTCTGGCTTCCCTGGTCGGGGGTCAGCAGGGGGAGCTGAGCACGGCAGGAGCTGGGAGATGCTTCCTTCCGAACTCCTGAGTGCTGGAAAGGGACTGCATCCGTGAGGTGTGCCTGGGCTGTAATGCCTCTGCTGAGGTGGTGTCTGCAGGCAGGTCTCCAGCTGTGGCTGTGGGGTAAAATGCCCATAAAATGCCCATGTTGAAATAGGGTAAAATTTGGTTTGCTGCTCCAGAGCACCCAGCCTGAAATCTCTCTATTCCCGAGGGCTTGCACCTCTCTGGATGTTCACAGAGCAGCACCAGAGGTGCTCCAGAGCCTCCTCCATGCACAGCTGGGCTGCAGATCCCTCACTGTTAGACATCTGTCCGTCCTCCAAGGCTCACTTCCATCAAGAAGGACCCATCCAGGTCTTGGAACCTGGTTCTCCTTGCTCATCTTCCTCCTCTCCACTTCTTTCTAGGAACTGCGGATCATCTCGTGCTCTCACGAGTTCCATCGGGAATGTGTTGACCCTTGGCTGCAGCAACATCACACGTGTCCACTTTGCATGTTCAATATTCTTGGTAGGGCTCAGACACAGCATTTCCTGGCTGGGGACAGGGCTGGGTGCAGGATTGTGCCCAGGAGCTCCAGTTACTCTTGGGAGATGGATCAACAGGTCTTTGTGTCCCTGTGGATGGAGTGGACAGGGGACTGTGTGCATGGAGAGGAGACCCTTGCCTTTGAGCCCACCAGGGTACAGTGAAGTGCTGGGCTTGGGCTGGGACCTGCACCGAGAGGGATTCCAGTCCTGTGACCTGTGGGGAAGGGAAGGTGGGATCTGGGGGTTGCAGCAGCAGGGAGAGCGCTGAGTGTGCAGGAGCATCAGGGTGGTTTGGTGGTGGCAGCGAGGAGTTGCAGAGTGGGACGTGGGGCCGTGGTGGGAGGGCAGTGGAGCATCGGTGCCGGGGTTGCTGCAGCTGGGCTGTGGAACATGTGCTGGATACTCCCTTCTTTCTCCACAGCCAGAGACTCGGGGGACCAGGCCATGGCTGCCAGCTCCAGGCTGGTCCCTCAGGACATGGAGCCTGGGCGGCGACTCCACCTTTTCCGCCAGCATCCAGGACATGCCCTTTACCACCTCCCACACGCGTATCCTCAGAGGAACCTCAGGAGCTTGCCCCCAGAGCCAACCCACAGCAACCCCTTCTTCCACTCTCCAGAGCTCTCCCAGCTGGATTTTGGCACCATCCACTACGTGCCCTACAGACCGGCCACCTCCCTGCTGGCCTGTGGCCATGCGGCGTCGCTGGCCCCAGGCTCGCTGGGGCAGCATCTCCCCACCCCCTGTGCATGCGGGCAGGCGCTGGCAGCCCACAGGACGTGTCCGGTGCAGCCTCAGCCGCCCTGCGTGCCACCCAAGGCAGGCCTGGCACAGAAGCAGCACCGCGCGCCCGCCCTGCGCCGGGGGCTGGGCCACGGGCAGCAGCACAACAGCAGCGGCTCCGGGGAGAGCTACCTCACGGAGCACAGCGGCTACCTGGCCGACGGGCCGGGCAGCGACTCCAGCTCAGGGCCCTGCCACGGCTCCTCCAGTGACTCCATGCTGAACTGCACAGACGTCAGCCTGCAGGGTATCCACGGCAGCTGCTCCACCTTCCGCAGCTCCCTCAGCAGCGACTACGATCCGTTCGTGTACTGCAGCTCTGAGGGCCC